GAGAGAGAGAGAGAGAGAGAGAGAGAGAGAGAGAGAGAGAGAGAGAGAGAGAGGGGAGAGCGAGAGAGAGATAGTGTGATAGGAGGAGAGGCAGGTAGGGTGTAAATACGGAGTGAGAGAATGGGGAGGTAGTAATGTAGATGCGCATGTAAATGCGCAGTAAAATTAGGAGGGGAAGCAGGTAGGGTGGAGATATAGGGAGTGAGGAGGAGAAAATGTGATTTAGACATGGACCAGATCAATTAGTTACGGCTGGAAGTACGCATAGTATGCATGCAGACAATTAATCAAAAGCGAGAATGTGATAATAACAGATAAGACCACAATGACAATGTGAAAATTGCAGTGTACAGTATGACGTGTACATGGATTATAGAATATGTGTAGAGCTAATGTCAACAATGGAAAGGTAGTTTGGGTTTTTATTACAACATTGATTTAGTGAGCGTGCAAAGAATGCAATCACACAAAAGATAAGGCAAGGTTCCTTGTCTAATTTCTAAAAAAAACACAATTTAAAGAAATTTCAATAGAGAATTAAGGTTTAAAAGGTAAAAATCAATTTCCTCCGCCACTAATCATCCTATTCTATCTGCTCTCCGCTTCCCTTTACCTCCCTCCCCTCCTCTCAACTTATTTTTTATCTTTCTTTTCTCACTTTCCTCGCGCAGTTTCCATCTCATTTTCTTTTCTCCGATTCCTATGCTCCCCTTCTTCTCTCACCCACCTCTCTCTCTGTTTTCCCATTCTCACGTTCGCCCACCCCGTCCCTTCATACTTTATCTACTCCTTGCTTCTCCTTGGCTCTCTCACTCTATGAACATCCTTTAAAGTAGTTTTATTTCAACAACTTTGTACCGAAGTCAACTGCAACGTGGCAATATAACCTGCTCTGCAGAAACTTCATGTTTAAATAAAATATAAAGTTCATGTTTAGATCCAATTTCAAGCACCAATCCTACACACAGAAACTTAATTATTAAGAGGTATCAGTTTAAACTTTCAAGATTTTCAAAACCTTACCATTAGTACACCTTGCGGGATCAGGTTAGTGTAATAGATCAGGGGCACCAGCATGTACCAGTGAATGTCAGAAATACAGTACATGCAGACAAGGAATCCAGTACAATATACTGTCCGGAATCCATATCAAAATTGTGGACACTCATGCACGCGTACATACATGCACTTGCACAAACACATGCATGCACGCACAGACACACTCACACTAACGCACCTACCTCCACGCGCAAACACATGCACATATGCATACACGCTCCCCCCCCCCTTTACACACACTAACGCACGCACGCACGCACACACACCACACACTCATGTGAATGCACGCGCATGCACACCATGCATTCGCACACACACGCACGCATGCACGCACGCACGCACGTACACACGCACGCACGCACGCACACCCACACACGCACTCGCGCGCGCCTGCCTGTATATGATCGCGACATACATTACGTACACGTCGCGGCAGCAGCAGCGGCAGCGGCGCGGCCGTCGCTAGGACAACACGTCGATGTCGTGCAGCTTGCCGCGGTGCGCCTGCGCGGCGAGCATCGCCTGCCGCACCGCCTCCTTGTACGAGCCCTTCTTCTTCTTGTTGAAGCGGCCGTGAAAGTTCTCGATGAACGACAGCAGCTCGGAGCAGGACATCGTCGAGCTGGTCGTCGACGCGAACCACGCGACGTGCGCCAGCTGTCGCACGAGGCTGCCGTTGTCGCGCGTCGACTCCGAGATGCCGATCACGTGTCCCGGCCACCACGGGAAGCCGTGGATCTTTCCCCAGACGACGTCGCCGACGGCGAGCGTCTTGCCCGCCGGCGTGACGCACTTGTCGACGGCGTGCGACTGGATGCGCATCATGAGCGGCTCGACGCGGCGCACCTCCTCCGAGCATCCGTCCGGCGGGCCGTCGCGCGTCGCGTCGTCGTGGCCGGCGGTGCCGCTGCCGCGCTGCGGCTGCAGGAAGCAGCTGCCGTAGCTGCAGCTGCTGCCCGTCGTCGAGTTACTCGCCTCGTCGTAGATGTCCACGTCGCCGCCGCCGCCATCCTCCTGCCCCTCCTCCTCCTCCTCCTCCTCCTCCTCTACTTCTTCTTCGTCCTCCTCTTCGAGTTCGTCGCCGTCTTCTCCATCGTCGTCGTCGTCGTCGTCGTCGTCGTCGCCCTCCGGCGGCGTCAGGCTCGACAGCTCGCTCTCGGGAAGCCGCTTGAGATTCACGCGCGCTTCCGCAAACTGCACCGACGAGTTGCCGTCGACGCTCGACGCCGAGCTGGAGTTGTCGCGACGCGCGCGCGCCAACATCGCGCAGTCGCTCTCCTCGCCACTGTTCTCCTGCCCCGACTGGTGCCGGTGCCGCTTCTTCCGCTTCATCTTGTGCTTGTGGTGATGCTTGGCCTTCTTGCGGTGCACGTGCTCGACGGGTCGTTCCGCCAGCAGATTGTTCGTAGGCGACGTCAGGTCGTCGGCGTAGTCGTGCGATCGCCGCGCGATCTTCATCACGGTTCCCTTGCCCTCGGGATTACTGAACGAGATCTTTATGATCGGACTCGCCTGCCTGTGCATGCGCTCACCGCCGTCAGACTTCTTTAGTTTCTTTGGTGTCCTGGCAGCGTCGTTCTCGCTCGGCTTGCCCTCCGCGGCTCCGGCGTCTAGACTGCCGACGGCAGTCGTCGCGTTTCCTACATTCTCAGAGTTCTCCGTGCACACTGACTTACACTTTGAGCAAAAGACCTGACGGGGTCGCAGTCTCATCGGGCAGGGTCGGAAACCCTTGCCCTTTAGAAGACTGTTTCTGGGGTAGTACTTTGATTGAATCAGACCTGGTCTGTCTTGGCTTTTGATGCACTGCTGATCATACGTGTGTCTGTAGTTGATTGCATTCAATTCAGGTTTCACCTCTTCAGCTTTTTCTTCTTTCCTTGGACCAGCCAAGTGGAAGTTAGGTATGTTAAGCCCATGTGGCCAGCACCTAGAAAAAGAACATGATAAAATGATTCTTAATGTGTGAATGCTGGTGTACTTCAGGGGAATATGATAGGATAAAATTTGTGTTTACCTATGGTGATTCGGGACCAGTCTAAGCAATCTGGCAAATGAAACTTGCAGTTTATCAATGCAAACAATAACTATATTTACAAGGCAAGATTTATTTTGGGTTTTATTTAACATTTGGTGGCTTAACTAGAACACAAACGCTGCAGACTGGCACTCCACTAATCGCTATTGATCTGCTGCTTGCGCTGCTGTTGCTGCTGCTACTACATGCTGTTGCTACACACTGCTGCCATGGTTGTTGTTGTTGTTGCTGCTGCTGCTGCAGTTCATTCTGCTGCTTTTCATACTTGCACTAGTACTGTTGTCACTATCATTGCAACTGTTACTGCCAACTGTTACTGCCACATTTATCTCTGCTACTGCTGCTAGTTGGGGGAAAGGAAACAGATTTCTAGTATACATGCATCTTTACAAGCGTATGTTATATGCCAATAAATTGACTCCAGGCATAACGACAGGATATGTTTAAAATAATAGTAGAGTAGCTAACACAGAGAAACACGTACAAAATTCCTGATTATACTTGAAAGTACACACTTAGCAGTCATCTGCCAGACAAACAAAATTTTAGCACCTACGTCACCAGATCAGCCACACTCCTCTCATATACCTATGGAGAGAAAATCTCATAGCCCTTCTAAATGAAAGTGTCAATGACACTGTAGCTCACCTTGGGTGTAATAGAAGAGGAAGGGGGGATAAATAAAGCAAGAGTATATATGGGAGAACTCCCATTATATAGCATATCTCACATTATATACTCTTGATAATGATATATGCATAAGTTTTGATGTGAAAATAAATGTTTCAGATCTGAAAGTCTGAAATTTTGACAAGAAATGGCGCTACGCCTAAATGATCGCCATTTTGGTTTTCGAATATCGCGCAAATAAAAACAATAAAATATTCCAGTCAAATTACTGTAACGAAGAATCTAAAACACAATGTTACATGTATATAGGTATGATTGTAGAGTTGTTAACCAGACGAAATAAACGGAATAGAACGTCATCTCTCCCATAGTGTTTTGTTTAGAGATATTAAGGATAATACACCAAGGATGTAGAAATGTAATTTAAGAATGTGGTTTCCGAGCAGACCAGGGATTTCTGGAGGCATCTTTGCTGAATGCAAAGGTACAGTAGTCCAGCTATTAAAACAAGTTGGCACACATTACAAGTAACGTAACATAATGTAAGTAACGTAAAATGCAGTATGATGAGATTGGAAATAAAGCAGAAAAACAAGTTAACAGCAAAGATGAAATTTGATAAAAATAATTGTATGAACTTATAGCGTAATTTAAGAATGTGGTTTACGAGCAGACCAGGGATTTCTGGAGGCATCTTTTAGTAGGCTTGTAGGCATCAGCTAGTAGGCTTGGTTAAAATAATCTATGGTTGCAAAATTGTAGATTCTGGTTTATATCTTTTTTACAATGCAGTCCTACTTTTAAGATAATTTTTTGCTACATACTTGGAAAACAGCCTCAAGTCACAAAGGGGGATTGACCCCTCCCCAAACTGCTTCTGTGGCAAGTACACTGAGACGATGTTATGACACACTGTGATTTACCTCAGAAGTGCAACTTTTTTATTGGAAATATTAGCATTTATTCTCCACCATTGTTAGGAAAACAAGTGCTGCAGAGCGACAGCGCTCAACTGACGTGTACTGTAGCCAGGTATTCTTCTGATAAACTCACTGGCAACCGAATCAAGTGCGCCCTCCTGCCACCGCGTTCACGCTCAGTGCATATATCTAGGATACTACTAATACAGATCTAAAATCTATATGATAGGCTTTGCTATACCTACTGGTAGTACAGTAATAAAGATACAGCTGTGTAACTTTAATGACTTGACACTATATTAACATGTTATCATGGATATGCATCGAGCGCAAGCATAGTGGTGGTGGTGGGGGAGGGTGGGGGAAGGGGTGGAAGGGGAGGGGGTGGAGGGGGAGGGGAAAGGTGAGGGGAGAGGGAGGGTAGGGGGAGGGGCAGGTGCAGAGGGGCTCTAATAGCAAAAGCAGTTCAGTCCCTTGTTAACAGTCAACAAATCCATGTTTAACCCTACTCTTGAGGGTCAAAAGGTTATCAGACACTTACTCTTCGCACGCCAGCGGAAAGTAGATTTTATGGTCCTTTCAATAAAGTGATAAAAACGGTAGGTCAGCGCTGAAGCAAAAAAGTTTTGCACTCGGTCCGTTAGATTATGTCCTCAGAAAATGTCTGATATCTGACCTTTCCCCCACTACCCTTTGACCTGTGACCTCCAATTTCGCGCTGGTGATGGGTTTCCTTCCCATCACACTATACATCGAATATTAAGAGCGTAGGTCTAGCCGTTGAGATTTGTGCCACAATTCCGTATTTCCTCCTATACCTTAAGTTAAGGAGGAAATATTCCCCCTCCATTGACACATCTTGATCATTGACCCTTGACCCCCAACTTCGACATCCCGGGTCCTTTTCGCGATCTCCCCCCCCCCGACGTCCCCAATATCAAAACCGTACGTCAAGCGGTTAAGATTTGTGCCCAACTGTTGACGGACGCACAGACGGACGGACGGACGGACAATCACGCGATTCTACAAGCTGCATCTGACTTTGTCAGCTGAGCTAAAAATAGTTAATAAGGACAGTACTCCTATTGTACCCAAATTTAGACTCCTGCACAAACTAGGAATTTCAGTGCATTCAAAGTTAGAGCAACCAATCTCCACATTGGGCAAAACCTGTTACATACTCTAATAACTATTAAATATCACTAAAAATTTCTACTGATGTAGTGTATAGCACTTTGGTTAAGAAATTTGAAAACTAATAAATAAGTTAATAAATATTAGTAATATCTCTAGTTAGGGCAAGAAAAGCAGGTGATGCACAAACTTGGAACAGGTTGGCTATCAGTTATACCATTAGAAATGGTTCACATATATTTTTTCTTGAATCAATGTATTTGGTATCTTGGTTAAGAACTTTATTTACTATTAAATAATTTGATTAATATTAAGCAAATCTGTAGTTTTTGTGCAAGGTCAGCAGGGTTTGCAGAAACTTGAAATTGGAAGGCTATCAAAGATGATAATCATTAGAAAGAGTTCCTATATCTTTTATCTTGAATGTCCTTAGCATCCTGATTAAGAGATTAAATGGATATTAGGTAAACTATTTTCAGCCTACCCAATCTTATGATTGGTCACCACGAACTAAGAAATCCAGAATATAGGCAGCATGACCTTAACTTAAGATTATCCTAATACCAGGTTCGGTTTCCACATCACCTTAAATTGCTTAATAAATATTGGTTCATTTGTCAATGCATATTTCTTGTGCATATGATGCACAGTGGATTAAAATGATGGAATGTAGTATTACAAAAGACCTTTATCAGGTCCCCAACAACAATCCATCATGCCACCACACCCAAGAAAGAAATGTCAATAAAATTATCACGTATGTGTAAAACTCCAAGTGCACACCCGATTTGTATCACAGTGAGCGTGCAAGGTATGCTATCTGTGAGTTCTATCTCTGTATCTTACTTCCATCTTAGTTCTATATTTATCTAATCTCTATATATACAGAGAGATAAGACTATTTCTGTGAGTTTGTGAACAGTTGGGTGTGTGCGATGGGATTATGTATTGCAGAGGAGCAGATAAAAGCAAGTTATGTGAAATTATTACGCCATAAAAAGTAGATAAACAATAAGACTTTTGTAGTAAATACAATATATGTTTATTTATTATCATTTTATTATTAAAACGGTACAAGTTCATGGACGACCATTGAGGTGCATGCGCGCTACCTGGCTGTAGACTGGAGTGGATGGGTACGATTTTCATGATAATGGTACTGATAAATGATAATTAATTGGAATTTGTGATGCGAGAACTTTCGTAATTAAGTCAATAACATACACAAGATATGACATGTAGGAAACAAACTAACAATTTAATTTCAATAGTATTGTTTTGATTAAAGCGTGACATGAGGTGGGACTGGGAGCCTGTGTTGACAGTGTCAGTGTAGGACTGTTGAGCCTACAAACACGAAACAGTCTAGACTCTAGTCTCTGCTCTGGCTTCTTGATCTCACCGTTTTGATGAATCCAACAGAACGCCTTGGAACACTTTCGTAGCATATATATATGACACTACAATAACATCCTCAAGAGCTTTGACAACATTTACAGTAATTGATGAACCTTCAAGTTGCATAACCTCCGCAGTCAAAGTTTCTCCTGCCATTTTTCATTTTCCACAAAACAAAACAGTTTCGACAAGGGCGCCATCTAGTTTCTGAAATTAGCAATATTTAAAGTGTAGCCACCATATGGGAGCGGCTCTATGGGCTATACACAAATATCAGTCACAAGCAATGTCTTATATGAACCCGGTAGCAATGTTGCTGAGAAATTACCGATGATTTTTCATAGATTTCAAACAATAATATTGTATATATAGCGCGCTTTTGTTTACGGCAATTTAAGTTACTAAATCGGATGAAACGCAAAATCGACGATAGTCGCAAGGTGGCGCCAGTGTAAATACTGTGGTTCAACAAAATGATTTCAGCAAAAACATGCCTTTATCTGTATGGCCCTGGAAAGCAAGGATTGAGAAGCCCGTGTGGTAGTTTAGTATTTGTGAGGTGGAGGAAGCCACGATGGATACCGATGGCTAAGAGTAAACTGGAGTACTTGCCAGTCAAAAAACCCGTTGACCCATGGGAGGCTGATTTTATGAAAAAGCAAATGAATCACTACAGAACGACAATGAAGGCTCTTAGGTACCACTACTGGCACTAGCTCTAGTACTATAGCCCGCTTACAGTCAATGTAAGCGGGCTATAGTACTAGAGCTATACTGGCACTAGTACTAGTACTAGTAGTAGTAGTACCCCCACTACTAGGCATCGCTCTAGTACTAGTACTACTACTAGTGCTGAGAGGGTCTATGTCCCCCAGAGTACTGCCGGAAGGTATCCTGGGTCCGGTCCGGTATAGTCTAGGGAGTCGCCTACGGCTACGCCTACACCCTAACACTAACCCTAGCCCTAACCATATCAGCTAGATAGTTACCAGGGTACTGGTACGTTCCGGTATACTGGACCGTACCCAGGTTACGTTCCAGTATTACCCTGGCGGACATAGACCCTATGAGCACTACTAGTACTAGTAGTAGTACTATATCCCATGTACAGTTGCCACAGGGCTATAGAACATTCTATTACGAATGCTAGGGACCAACTTATTCACGGTAACGGCTATAAAACGTCTGTGGTAGGCAATTAATGCCTCTTATCCGAAGTGAATATGTCTTAAGTTATATCAACTACTAAAATTTAACCTCTGACGCTGAGAGGGTCTATGTCCCCCGGGGTACTGCCGGAACGGTACCCTGGGTATGGTCCGGTATACCGGAATGTACCCTGGTACTATCTAATATCTTGTATCTTGGGGTCCCTCTCTTGTATTTCACAAGGCACAGATTCTCGACAATTGCCGGACCGTACCTCGCCTACTCCACTAACGAGTCTAAGGAGTCGCCTACGCCTACTCCCTAACCCTAACCCTAATCCTAACCCTAACCATATCAAATAGTGACCAGGGTACGTTCCGGTATACCGGACCGTACCCAGGGTACGTTCCGACAGTACCCTGGGGGACATAGACCCTATGAGCCTAACTATCGTTGAAATGGTCTGCTTGCAGTATTTCTTGTGAACGAACATTATTTACGAACTTCAAACGGCCATTTTTGGTGGCGCTGCAGCAGCGCCAGTCAGCGGGTTGGTCCCTAGCATTCATAATAGAATTAATGTTCTATAGCCCTGCGGCAACTGTACGCGGGCTATAGTACTGCTGAAGGGGTCGTTGTCATATATGTAGTACCCGAGGTGTCGGCGAGTATGTCGCCTACGCCTACTCCCTAACCCTAACCCTAACCATAATATCAGATAGTTACCTTGGGTACATATTTGTACTACCCTATATGACAACGACCCTTCGTGCTATAGTACTAGAGCTACACTAGGCACTACACTACTAGAGTTCTATAGGCTATAGTCGCTAGGCACAGTTACTCTTCTGTTACTGTAGGTGCTTTTTACTACTACTAGGTATTGTTGTACTAAGTTACAGTAACTTATGTTGTTGACTAGAAGTAGAATTATCTCGCAGGCTGGCGCGTACTACCACGTACTCTACTCGTAGGCTGCTAGGCAATACAGATCGACGAGCGTACATGGCAGAAAGAGAGAGATAGAGAGAGCTTTCAGTACGTTGCTCACGTAGCGTGAGCTTGGTGGGGAGTGGAATGATCCCACTGCCAGTGATTTATTAGACTATGGTTGCAGTCTGATGTATTTTGACTGTATTTTCTATTCTAAAGCTCAATCTATTTTGACGGAAATAATCGTTTTCACACTGAAATCAGCCCTACTGTCACAAGAAGGTAAAACCATGGGGGTTCCTGATCAGACCCTATGGATTTGCCTCTGTCCCTGTTAGTTCAACCAGTTTGTATGTAGAAAATAACTCCTGTTTAGCAAGAGCTGTGATTATTTTCGTACATGCGATTTAGTTGCCGTCAAACCTGTGTTAGTTGACACCTCTATAGAATGAACACCCATTTATAGAGGACATCTGGCATTTGCCAGTTTATATGAATACAGTAAAACTACCTACATAGACTGGACACCTTTCTATACAGTAGAATACATTTGGGGGGGGGGGGTCCTTAAATTGACTTTTAATATGCAAGTTGGACTGGAGTTACATGAATTTAAAAAAAATTTGTGTTGTTGCGTGTTTCAGGGCATACTTTGCGTGTGAGCAGGAGGCACTCAGTGCTACCGGTACTGTGATGATGGAGAAAGCTCGGCATGAGGAGGATGAGTTTAGGGCGCTTCTTGAGGAAAATGCAAGACACAATGAGCACGTAGCAGCAATGAGGTGCGTGTAGCTGTGTGTGATATGCACCAATGTAATTCATATATAATAGGAAACCCAGTACACATCAGAAAGAATTCCTTCCTGCACAGTACTCTGGATCTATGGATGAAAATGTTTTGCCATTGTCAATAGCTATGTCAAATACGGTGGCAAAATTAGAGGTACAGCTCGAATCAAACTGTAAAGATTACTCCCTATACTATGATCACAAGGAAAAATCAAGTTTATGTACCATGCTACACAAAATACTTCTAGAGTCATCTTATGCTCGTGGCCGTCCTATGGTAAGAAACACATTCATGAGCATCTATGAGTGTAAATGATGATATTGATAAGGCATCTATCTTTCCTTATGTTGCATGAATCATCCCTTTGCCTTAATTGCAATTCACCGACCTGTTCCTGATTATTCTCTGATGACGGTGTGAACAAAAATCTTGAGTTACTCAATTGTTAATATGCTGAATGCAGATTGTATCTGAGATGATAACATAATGAATGCAGAACCTCTCTTGCTTGTGAGTCTTCAAACCGTTGCTGTTCGTGTGACATTTTCTTCCATTTCACTACAGTTACTCGATTAAGGCCAGAGCAGACATTGAGTTGCTTTTCTTATGTGTTGATTTCATTTACTACATGCTGTTCATTTCCACAGGGAAAAACGCATTGCTGATGAGCAAGAAGCTCGGCTATTGGCGAGAATGCGAGGGATTGAGTTTGCTAAACAGAGGAGGGCTGAAGAGAGAGAACATGCTGACAGTGTGATTCAACATTACCAGGTACTACATTTGAGGACACAGACAATACCAGTTATCAGCCATTATAGACATATACAAGACATTTTAATTTCATGAAGAGACAGGATAAGAAGTGTCACACAGACATTTTTAGTTTATTAACCTATACGGCTATTATTGAACCGTAAACTGGCTTCAGTCACAATGCTCAGAATCTTCACTGTTCGTGTACATAGTGTTTGCGAATGAAAGTATGCACACAGGGACACACATAGGCACACGCACGCACGCACGCACGCACGCACGCACGCACGCACGCACACACACAGGCATGCATGTGCACGCACTGACACACATAGGCACACACACACACACACAAGCAGGCATGTGCACGCACTGACACACTCATGCACTCGCACAGACATGGATGTTTCATTTAATTCAACCCTGCAGCAGAGTATAAAGAATTGCTATGATTTGCCCTTTGGTTGTACCGGCAACTCTGGATGTTTTTAGAATAATGCAAGTGGTCCATTGACACCCTTTAAAAAAAATTTACTTGTTACCTCCACGCAACGGAGTTGCAGGGAGGTAATGTAATCGCTCTCGTGTGTGTGTCCGTGTGTGTGTGTAGCCAGCAGTGAGCCAGCTGTTATACACATGCTGAACCGATTGATCGATTCAGCACCAGCTCGCCTTAGGGCGTCCAGTTAGCAGCAGCTCGCCTTAGGGCATCCAGTCAGCAGCAGCCAGCAGCGAGCCAGCTGTTATACACATGTATACATGTTACACGCTCGTGGAGGTATGCACTCTCTTTGAGTGCCCTCTGTCTAGTGTTTTTGAGTAATAGGGTAATTGACAAGCGACCAGTGATACACATTGGGCTGGCAGTACAGTGCACTGGTGTTGGTGGGTTTGGTCATTATATACTTTTGGGTATAGGCTGACAATTATCGATTCACTTATCGTTATATAGATATATCACTTATCGATCACCACATATCTTGATACTAGTATGATATTTTCAACGAACTCACTGGATATAGATTTTTGATGATACCGTTTTCTTATAGGAGCTTGCAAAGACGTTAGTCACCGCAGAAACTTGTGATGAAGCCATAGAGCAATGCCTTGATGACGTAATAGTGTACGACTTTGCAATAGACCAGACCGGAAGTGTTTATCAAGGTAGAACTCTAGAGGTGCTAGAGAAGGTCTCATCATTGTCGTCATCATCACCAGAGGTATCTACACTATCGTGACCACGTTTCACATCTTGCAGACAGTTGCAACGCTGTGGTTATGTGTGTGGTTATGTTGTAACATATTACAAAGGTCTGGCACATTTGTAATTATGAACACTTAGCAGTTTCTGACAATAACGTTTGGTTACAGCTGGTTTTGTTACTCCAGAAATGTAAAAGTTACTGAGCCCCCCAGTTAGGAAAAGGTACGTTTGCAGACCTTTTTTGAACCTTCACTCAGCTAGTTTATGTAATCATATTGGTAATAAATTGTTATTAAAATCTGAAAAAGTATTCATGGACTTTTAAAAGCGATTTATTATTCATGTTATTTATACAAACAAAACGATCCATCTCTTACAATTTAACAATTTTTTAATTGTAATATTAACTAAAACATTACATCATCGATATACATCTATGTAGAAATTAAAAACAACAGGCGTATTTGGACTTTACATTGTAGACAGGTCTGTTTACAAACGTCACACATTAAAAGGGGACACTGTAGGATTTACATATGGCAATAAAAATGTCTTTGTAGATCATATGACAAGTAGAATATGAGTGAGCATTGACATACAGTTCCTCATTTTTATTTTCAACAAAACGGATGTTCATGGATTAAAGATTTTAGACAGTTGAAGGTAACATAACTAGAATAAAAAATATGTTGCCATATCAACATACACATGTTCGCATCAGCAAGGAAAAGAAAACATTTCAGAGAGAAAACTAGATAGCAGAAAATTTACAGTAATAGTATCAACCTTGTTTACATGCTGGCAAATCAATTATATCCATCTTCTGATCTCTATGTTATAAATTGGATTAAATACATTACTTCATATTTTGATACAAGAAATAAAACGATCTTGATCTAATTACATTGACTAATATACATAAATATCACAATTGCACTAATATTTCAATTCAGCTTTATCCCACACTCAGTTAAAGCAGTTAAATTGCCTTCCTTGCATGTATACAATAAAGGAAATTTTCTCACAAAAATCAGATCATATTGCATATAATTACCATATCACACTATTCCTCTACTTTATCACGATGTTCCATCTCCATTCGGTGGTATCTTGGGCGCAGACCCACAATTGTAAGTATGGATGACAGTGCAGCAAAGGCACTCAAAGCCAAGACAGGAGCTACAAGTAATTCATCACAAATAAATCATCAATGGTAATCTAAAATAAAATGCTCGTTCCATCTATTCACAAGGACAAACAAAGTTATAGGTGTATCTGGTTATAAATAAACAGACTTCTATATACAGATTGTTTAGCATAGGTTGCCATTGCCTTCACTGAAGACGTTATGACATTAGACGCTGTTACTGTGAGCAATTCTGATGGTAATAGGTTGGCAATGTGTTTAATTTAAACAATAATTCTCATGTAGATACTTGATAGCAGTACTTACCTGTCTGGTCGAATGCTGTGACACCCCCTGAATGTGGGTTAGTTGAACAAGTCTCATGAGACATAGCAGCACTAGACAACGGCTTTGCTAGCAGTGGTAACAGCACAACTACCACTGCGCTTTGTATACAACTGAAAAATACAATTGGACTAGCAATTTAATTTATATTCCATGTTACTTCAGTAGCATCTCACACATGTAGTTCTGCTGGCATAGGTGTGTTTCATTTAGTGTGGGAAGATAAACATGAAAGCAGCAGCATCCTTCACAGCTCTTACCAGCTGATGTTGAGTATTCCCACACTAATGGCTTCATGAACAGGGTATGTCATCTCCACTGCCATCTCTTGCACAAGAGGATAGACTGGCAGCGCAGCGATGCCCACTAAACTAGCGAGTATAGCCAAAGGTATCTCTTGGTTATACTGCAAACTGAACTGTAACAAAATGAGAAAAGGCAGTTATACATGGTAGTAAATTTAAACCATTTCATTTTCATCCTAATGGTTTTTTTCATAAATTCTAATATCATGATGATGCACGTGCCATATAAGAGCTTAAAAACGTCATGCTCTGTACTTTATCACTGAACAATTGCAAGTGATAATGGTTACAGTTGATAATCACATTGTTTTCCATCGACATAAAAAATGGTCAAATACATAACCAGCTATTCCTAGAGTTATTGACAAAGGGAATTAATTACACAATCAATTAATTACCTCAGTTAAAGCACAACAAAAAACAGTTGGGCTATTGCCCAATTTGACGTTCTAATATCTAGAGGGCGTAAAGGAAACTTACCACCACAAATATAGACAAGGTAATACTAGTCAGTGCAAGGGCAGTCTTTGTGATTTCTGCATACAGTTTCGTTTTGTCCACAATAATGCCGACTATCACAGATCCAATGAAGCCAAATATGATCATGAGAGCACTGCACCAGCCAGCAAATTCCTACATATAGGAAACAAACACATATGAAGAAGCAGTCACTGTTCATTTTAGGACTCATAATAGAAATATTATTGATACTTTCTTTAATAGATTAATCTTAAAAATGACATGTCTAATAAAACTAGAGCTTACAAGAACTGTTTTGAACACCACTTACCACTGAAACTGTTATCGATTTCTCACACATCTTAAAGTGATTACGTCACCGTAAATACAGTGAAATAGTAAAAATAAAAAAAATATTTCCACTTTTTCACAAAATATAAGTAATTCTGTTCACTTTTTATGGTTAAATTGCTGCATTATACTTATTATTTTGCTATATTGTTCGATGTGAACATACACTCGTGGCTCATACATAGCCCATAGCAAGCAATTGATGTCAGGAACACAATATCAAATCGTCCAGGTTTTTTTGGATTTTTAACTAGTTGAGAAACTATCTTATCAGGTAAGAATTTGACGATACATTTAGTCCCGTTAGTTCTTACCTTTAATGTAAAAAAATGGGAACAAAAATTTTACAAATTTTACCATAGTCAATATAGTCAATATAGTTCGTGACGTAGTCAATTTAACTGTTTGAAAGTCACTAACACAGACATTGGTAACAATTTGTCACAATACCCATGAGATTCACATAAGAAAATAGAACATACACAGATACATAGAAAAGTATCACGTGAAGTTAAATGACATCTCTTAATGCATAATGCGATGATTTCTTACGTCGGAGTATCCCTGTGGACAGAGAAACTGTGTCATGAGGGTCAGGATAGCACAGAAGACTGCAAACCCAGCACCTGATATGAACACCAGCAACAGATACATCTTGTCGACCATCACCTACAAATAGAACACGCATTACCATAACTCGCATAATACACTGCGCTCTGCCAACATAAAGTTTCCGAGGATTAAAACGCACCCCATTAAAAATCATGTCAGTTATCTCGCGTATGCTATATATACAGCATTTTATGAACCAGCTTTATATTAATAAGCTGTCTCAACAATAAACTTATTATTAGTGACCCATTTATATGGCATATAATTATGCATGCTTATTGCTAAGCTGACTTACACCGGCTCAAAAATGCTGTGTAAAGAGTGTGCAATGCACGAAGCTATGAGGCTTCTGAGGAGTGACATCGCGTGTCGTCACAATATACACTTAATGTCAGAATGGTAGATAATTTTTTAGCCATTTTATATTTTTTTAGCCAGCTCAAACCCGCCTAACCAAGCTGGTTTGAAAATAAACAGGCTTAAGCCTTCTTGAAACATTAACACGCTGGAATAACATTCTGTTCATTAATAATCCGGAATAAGCTGGCTTAAAAAGTGCCATGTAAACAGGGTTATAGGCTCTCCACCTAGAGCAGTCAATCAGAGAGAACTGTTATTGGTTGGCTGTTGATTGATGTGATAAGTTTTATTATAGGGGCACTTTGCACCAAGTGGGAGAGGTGTGGTACGGTAAGGGCCATCCCCTTTTGTAACAGCATCTCTTATTTTTTCCAGTATATGAAAAAAGTCACTATTGGAGTAATTCGAAATCGAAAACAAATAGCCAGAATTGATCAGATTCCACGTGCATTTCTGTACAATAATTATGGGAGATACTCCCAGCCCACCATTTCACATTCAACGAATCTGATTTTTCTATAACTCCTGGACACGCTCCTGTGCAGATGCGGCACAATGACTGAATTATTTGGGGTTATAATAGATGTATAACAAGTTGAGAATTTTTAGTGAATGTCACAACAAGGGTAGCATTATACATGCATATATTATTGAAACAGATACTAAACATCATATAATAACCAACCAAGAATAACATTTTCAAAGCATCAAAATGTAAATGTGTAAAAAAAATTAAACACAAATGCTATACTACAAATACATAATAACATGTTGTTACTTAAAAATACCTGCTTAATTCCTGTTATGATAGATTGGGTGTGTCCCTCCTCTTCTGCCCCACCAGATGGTGCTGTGGGTGGAGTGGAGCTGCAAACCCCAAATGTTGCCATGACAACTGCTAATACAGCTGGTCCTATGATGATGTCATTCTAGAATAAAACGGTAATTTCAGACAATCACTGATGACATCGCAACCTTGCTCTAAGTGTATTAAAGGTTTTACTTGGTATGTATCCAATCCCGTTTCAATTACCGTGTTATTAATGACAGTTTGTGATATTGACACAGCAAGATCTGAAGTGTCATTTCATAGCACAATAGCATTATGCTGCTGCATAATATTTAGATGAATAATGAAGTGTGCTGCACACAATCAACACAGATAGTGCACAATAGCCATATACAGGAGTTTAAAGGATATAGATGTGAAGCAGTTAGGTAATCAGCTGTCATTATAGGGAAGCCTTACTCATTTTACCAGCAGAGGTATGTGACTGTGGTGGCTCACAATGGGTGGCGATATCGTAGTTGCTGCTAGCATCCCTAGCGTTTGACCTATCAATGAAATTATTTGCTCATTGAGGCATGTACATTACTTAAAGTAACTATTGCGAGAGTTTTCCAGTGTTTTCACCACTTTCATGACACCTACCGTTATTGCTTGAGTAACAGCAATTGTCTAGAGTAACAATAAAATGTCTTAGAACCTTCGTATCCACCGAAAACTGCCAGTTTCGAACTAATCGTTTTTGTAAACATCCGTTTTCTGTCATCTTGAACTAACAGGAAGTATGGATTAGAGTACCTACATAAATACCTCTTTATGTAGGTACTCTAGTATGGATTAGCTTGTGGCGACACCGCTTATCTGCCATAGACACAGTACAGGCACGCACTTGTTTTTAATTAATCACCGACACAAATACAAGTTTACCAATTCTGCCATTAGGCATTATCGCAACACGATAAAATGCATTGCTGGTACGATGTGTTCATATCCAATTTTCTATGCTATAACTGCATAAAATCTTAGTATTTTTAATGTTGGTGTAATCAGTGATATTTTCGCTGTCAGGTGAGATTATATTCAGCTATATTTAGTTTTTCTGAGCAAAAATCTCGCAATACAGGCTTTAAGAGATACGATATAATGAATTCTCGATTAATTAACTAATATGTTATATTTTCCTGCTAAATGATAAGATTTAGTGATTGAAGAGACTTCAGCTGAAAGACCTTGGAATGTTGGATAGAGAGATAAGGATATTACATATTTGTTTACTGCAAGAAATTAATCACTGAACAAAATTACAACAGATGGAATTGTGTACATGATGTGTGATTTTAGTTCATCAACAAAATATGCTGTGATTACCAGTAATATGGACCAGGATAAGGGCAAAATTTATGTTAAACATACCATTACCACTATATTGATGTTTGCAACTTACAATTATAAAGATGTTTTTGCCAGCAATAAAACTAAGAGGTACACACTTTTCACAGTCTCTGAGGTCTTTAGCCTCGTGAAATATGACATAATATATTGTACCCAAAGATCCTATGGTTGTAGCTAATGTTCTTTGACCATCAGGAAACCAGACTGCTGCTAGTTTTGCAGGCATGAAAAGGATGAGGGGCTGAGCAAATGAAGATATGGTCTGGCCACCCATCATCAGAGGAAACTTGATTCTGTCGTCATACTGACTTAGCACCCTAACCAACTGTCCAAGTGCATTTAGCCAGGCTGCAGCCAAAATCTGAAACCACAACAGAAATCAAGCAGTAAGAGCTGCTGGGCATTGGCAAGTCTACTGACCTACATTGGTACCTTACTGACTACCTCGAGGGAATTGAAACCAGTAGAGCAAAAACATTAAAATTATTACTATTACTGTTTTACAAAATAAACCTACTGATGCTCTAAGTCCACAGTGTTCCAACATATAAATTGCGGGTATTCCTAGGATCACAGTTGTAATAAAGTAGACAATGCTCAGCCAGTTGATAGCTTCCAGACTAACATCATAATAGTCTGCAGCATAGTTAGCCACTGTAGACATTGAAAGCCAGATCTAAAACATGAGATGATGACATAACAATCATTATACAAATGTGTAACTCTAGAATACAATACAAAATATGAAGTTTTGTAGACCTATGCTTATTATGCTATATATTATACCACTGTAATGCCATTCTTTACATGTGTAAGAATTGGGAGGCAGCCATACTAAACTCGACATTTACAATGATTTGTTCCCAAAGGTGCCACCCACCTATAGCATTGAACATAATTTGCTGGGGCTAACGTTTGGAATATTCACACTTCCATCCTAAAGTTTCCAACACTACATTTTGTCACCGTGACTCATACCATCAAACATACATTGCTACACCACTAGTGGAACACACACACACACACACACACACTAGTGGTATACATGTGAAAGAAGTAGCCATCAAATAATCAGAGGCCACTATAGTGCACTATATGCCCTTCAGTGGCAACTACTATATATAAGCAATAAAAAAATCTACTGGAGGGGAGCAGCTCAGAATCCACAACACACTCTAGCAGCTCTTGCCAATCGCAGAGCCACTGAATTGACCCCTTTCCACTAGGTCTACAAAATATCTTAGTGCTAAAATTTGAACTTTAAAAACTCATTGTTGTCAATGTTAAATGTTAAGCAAATAGGTTAACAAAAACCTGCAAACAGGATTACCAGCAGTGCCTATTTTTCAGACTGAGAAGTAGCCTTGGTGCCACAGTTGAGGGAAAATACTCATGAATCAAAACACAATCATGAGTTAGAGATGTACTAACTAAACTCACGAGAGGGGTATAATATGGTCAGTGTTGCTGAATAAACCTATAAAATTCATGCATTATTTACAATTTATAGCAACACACTACTACTACTACTAGTGGAGGAATGTTGGGTCCAATGACCAACATAATAATACAGCCAAATAACGCAGATGGGGTCGTTGTCATATCAAGTACTACAGATATGTACCCAGGGTTCTCCCTACGTTGCGCAAACCGGGCGCGCCAGCCCCGTTTGGGAAAACTCCCCCCACGTTTCAATCGTTGCGCCCCGTTTAAATTACCTCCGCCCCGATTAAATTCCACCACAATAAAAGTTTGACAGCGCGGGAATCGATCGTCAAGAATTCCCATTCATCCAGGCCCTCGGACGCGTGTATCTTTACGGTACCACTAATGAGTAAACGTCCTACACTACGCATATTCACTGCAGACAACACACAAGTACAAACAGTCAACCTGTCCCAAACCTTAACACAAACTGTACCGACTCGGCTGTCTTATATACAAGTACCCCAAATACCGTCTATGGTGTGGTGGCGATTTTACGCATTACGGTAAAAAACACGCTCTCCGGACTCCCCTAGTTTGCCCTCCCCCTCTCTCTCCCCTCCCCCTCCCCCCTGTTTCAATTTCATCCTGTGGAGAACCCTGGTACCCGAGGTAGTTTTAGGTTGTTTAGTATTATGTTTATATTTTTATATGAGGTATGTTTAGGGTTAGGGTTAGGGTTAGGGTACACTTCTGTAGTACAATCCTCGATATTTTTTCCCGTATTTTCTATTCCACTTCGATACAACTTTTTCCCTCCAATAGATGGCAGCACTACGCTATAAACTAGGGGGGTCCGGGGGCGTGTATTTTTACCGTACGACTAATTAATGCGTAAAATCGCCACCACACCATAGACGGTATTTGGGGTTCTTGTATATATAAGATAGCCGAGTCGGTGTACAGTTAGTTACAGGTTAATTGTGCATTGTCAGGTTAACTTGTGTACTGTCTGCAGTGCATGCGTGGTACGGTAGTCCTGGTCGAACGGCAATTCTTGCCGGTCGGTTCCCGCGCTGGCAAACTTTTATTGTGGTGGAATTTAAACGGGGCGGAGGTAATTCAAACAGGGGGGAGTTTTCCCAAACGGGGCGCGCGGTTTGCGCAACGTAGGGAGAACCCTGCAGTTACTGAGACTGTACAGTGAGTGTACAGACTACAGTGACTATACTGACACTGTCACTGAATATCACACAGTATAAAAGACGTCACCGGTATTGTATAATATACATGCACCGGATCTGTAGGCAATACACATGGCATGTATATACAATACCAGTGACGTCACGCGTACGCACGCCAGAATTTCAAACGGGAATTTCCAGTAGTGCTTACTTTGTGGAATAAAAGGATAAATACATGGTGTAAAGTTGTGTAAAGTGTTCAAAAAGATAGGTGAGATGTCCACGTAGATTATAGATAGATACCCGGTAAGTGTTAAAAAGCCCGATAATTTTGCGTTTTGCGATCCATTTTTCTTGGGGACAGGTGGTGACAGGTTGCAGTTGGTATTTCCAGCTGACAACGTGCTATAGCCCTGCGGCAGTCAATGTACGCGGGCTATAGTACTAGAGCTATAATAATGGTAGCCGGGGGCGGAGACTTGACTGAGTCTGAGTGATGGCAGTCTTGTGGAACAGTGGTGTCTGAGGAACGAAGCTCACCATTCCATTTGAAGCAGCTATTAAAGTCAGTGTCGCCAATACAAACCAACGCCACTTATAGACTGTATATTGACTTTCATCGTTTATGCTCGTATACAAACGAACCGCTGGCACTAAATTTTCACAATTTTCCTCATCATGTTCACCACGGAGCGCCATGACCACATTTTCTCGCGCCACCTATTGGATTGAAAGGCATTGAATCCAGGTTGAAGTAATTGAACTTCTTTTAATATCCCTTGAATTCCGCATATTTCATTTCCTTCACTATCAGCAAGGGTTATATAGAAACACCGGATTTGTTTTGATATTTTAGTCATCATTTTACAACATATTGTAAGTATTTATACTTAATTTCGACAGATGACCATGGTGCCCATTATGATACTAGTTCAATGCAAGCTTTGTTCGATATCTAGACGCACACACGCCCACACACCAGCCCCTCTCAAGAGCTTCTTCCCTTCTTCACTACAATGCTTTTACTTTGTGTTCCCAAGATCCGGAAAATGATTTTCCAGTGCCCTTAATCCTCAAAAATATTTACCACTGTTCCCTATGACCTCGCTAAAGAAGAAAGGAATTAAGAAGACTGAAGTGAAAAAGGACCCTTGTGGACCCTAATGGTCCCTACAGCAAATTATGTTGAAATGACCTTGAAATACTTCAAAGTTTATTGCAAACAGTATCAGAAAATTGTGAAAAAAAATTACAAAGATGGAAATTCAGACTTCCCTTGTTCCCAAAAATCGAATCAGCAGTTCTCTTGTTCCCTGAAAATAATTCGACAATATCCCCTGTTCCCTGAAAGTTAATGCTCCTTCTCCCTGGGTTCCCCGCTATACTAATGTACATGAAAAAGGAGCTCCGATGTCGGTCGCCGTTGACTACTAGGATGATATTCTTCGGCCGTTTAAAGTGGAGCCGGGCGGACCGACGGCACGTATATGCTTGGTAAAATTCAATCTATAATATTTACTTTGCTCGCAGCATCACGCCCTGGGTTCCCCACCATGCCTATGTAGGCCCCCCCTACATGAAAAAGGTGCTACGACGTAAGACGCCGTTGACTGTCAAGAGAATTTTCTTCAGCCATTCTTATACGTTCAAAGTGGAGCCAGGCGGGCCGACAGCACGTGTGCTTAGTAAAATTTTATCTATAATATTCACTTTGTTCGCAGCATCACGCCCTGAGTTTCCCGCTATGCCTATATTAATGTACATGAAGATGGCGCTTGTGCATCGGTCACCGTTGACTGCCAAGAGAACTTTCTTCGGCCGTTCATACACGTTCAAAGTGGAGCCGGGCGGGCCGACTGCACGTGCACTTGATCAAATCCGAGCTATAATATTCACTTTGCTCGCAGCATCACGCTCTGGGGTTTCCGCTATGATAATGTACATGCAAAAAGCGCCCCGACGTCGGTCGCCGTTTACTGCCAAGAGAATATTCTTCGGCCGTTCTTATACGTTCAATGTGGAGCCAGGTTGGCCGACAGCACGTGTGCTTAGTAGAATTTGATCTATAATATTTACTTTGCTCGCAGCATCACGCCCTGGGTTCCCCGCTATGGCTATATTAATGTAGAGGAAGATGGCGCTCGTGCGTCGGTCACCGTTGACTGCCAAGAGAATTTTCTTTGGCCGTTCTTGCACTTTCAAAGTGGAGCCAGGCGGGACGATAGCAATTGTACTTGGTTAAAATCCGATCTCTAATATTTATTTTGCTTGCAGCATCACGGACACACACGCACGTACACACGCCCATACACGTGCGCGCACACACACATAGGGTGACAAAGTCTTATTCAATCAAAAATAAACAGTAACACTAAGAATAGTTTAATCGTTTTTGGAAAATAGAACTTGGATAAATATGTGTTTTTATAAAAAAACAACATTATTATTAATAATAATATTATTATTATTTTGTTATAGGATATATATATATATATGTAACGTTTTTCCCCGTTACGTGGGACTCTCCCACTGTTCGACCACTGGATTGTACACGTCGCACAAGAACAAACAACACAACTCAAAAATGATAGTGTTTACGCCGGGAATAGGTCCGGGGCTTTTATTCCGCTCTGGTCAACCGACCAGAGTGGGCATAAAACGGTGCCATATTCGCAGTGGCTGGAGGTACGCCAGCCGTCGGTCGTTCAAGCCCCTTTTTTGCGTTAGGGTTAGGGTTAGGATTAGGGTTAGGGTTAGGGTTAGGTTTAGGGTTATGGTTAGGGTTAGGTTTAGGGTTAGGGTTAGGGTTCTTGCTCATCTAAACTCTCAAATCGTGAATTTATTTCCCAAGGCGTTATTTCGAAATCTAGCGCCATCTTTGTCTCGTTAAGTATGAAAGCGAATGGACTGGCGTACCCGTAGCCTCGAGACATTAAGATACGGCTGGCGTACCCGTAGCCT